AATTTGATTTTTCTTTTACTTAAAATTATTTTTTTTTAAATATTTTCAGATTGTTTTATTGTGTTGATGTTAAAAATAATATTTTTAAAATAAAAAAAATATTTTGATGTATTTTCGAGTGAAAAGCACTTTGAACTGCAATCTCTACCATACTCTCAAACACCCAATCTCATTGCTGGCCAATGCTTTGCAGATGCACAGCCAAATTCTGACCCACAGCAAATAGACAGGAAGGATGTCCAGAAGGATAAGCAAGGAAAACTTCGCAGTCATCCTCTCTTTTTTGGCATAACAATGGGGCTACTGGCTGAGATCATAAATTCACGGTAATTTTTCTGACCAACAGTGCTTAGGAAGCATGTGCATCTATATGATATCATTGCATATTTTAGCAATTGACTATCATGCGTTCATTAACCAGTGATATTCTTTGTTTCTTGCACCTTGTGAAAGCATTCATCTAGAATTGTACCCGAGGGCATTTAGTCTAGTTGTATTGTACTCTGCAAAACAGCTTCTCCCTAGGGATGAGGGGGCCTTGCTACCCTAAACTCAAACAAGTAGAGAAGCGTGTATTCATTTAATGCTAAAAATGTATTTTGGAAAGTTATTAAAGTTTTTACTATTGTACCATGGATGCTCTGTGCATTTTACGCTTTGTCAACACTCCTTTCAAATCTTGAGCACAGATTAATAATTTTCTGAAGGAGCCTTTCTTGAAGCAAGATGGGACAGTAATCTTTTAGTTTTGAATTATGCAGCCTGAATCTGTATTATTTGTAGCTACCATAGCTATGAATTTTTTTTTTCTTTCTGCAATATCTCTATTTTGTGCAGGCTTTTTACGACAGTCAGGGATTCTCTTGGGTTGACATATGATGTATCGTTTGAGTTAAGCCTGTTTGATAGGCTTAAGCTTGGATGGTATGTGGTATCAGTAACATCAACTCCAGGCAAGGTGGGGTTCATTTCCCTATATTTTCATCTAATAATCTATTTGTCTGTTCTGACTTATTCACTAGCTTTTGCTCTATTGACATGCAGGTACATAAAGCGGTTGATGCATGCAAAAGTGTTCTTAGAGGGTTGCATAGCAACAAGGTTGCCCAGAGAGAGTTAGACAGGGTTAGATATTATACAACTACTTGAATAATCTTTTTGTTTTCTGTGATTGACAGCATTTAACTTGGGACATAGGATTCCAATCCATTGAAGCAAACATGTTTAATGGAAATGATGAAAAACTCTTCTGATGTTCGTTGTTGTTACCCTTGACAGCTTTTGCTTTAATTAACTTGTCAGCTGGGTTTTATTTTTCCTTCTTTTGTCTTATTAGGGAATATCTAATTGTATAATGCGGTGGGGTTATCTTTTATATATGCTTGTATCTTATGTTTTCATGGATGTATACATTTCTTTTTAACACTTTGCAATTACAGGCAAAACGTACACTGCTAATGAGACATGAAACTGAGATTAAGTCCAATGCCTATTGGCTTGGATTGCTTGCTCATTTGCAAGCCTCTTCTGTTCCGAGAAAGGTGAAAAAGAATATCTTTTAAGCTTAATTTTCCATCCTTCAGTTCTAGTCTTCTAACTAGAGAGTATCGACTGCATATGACCTGTTCTATTCGGTTTTGGGGTTCAGGACGTCTCATGCATTAAAGATCTCACTTCACTATATGAAGCAGCAACTATTGAGGACATATACGTTGCATATGAACAGTTGAAAGTAGATGAGGATTCTCTGTATTCATGCATTGGGGTTGCTGGGGCACAAGCTGGAGAGGAGATTAATGGTAAGTAACCGTAGTCCACCGTCAAATGTTTCCTCATATCTAAAGTGTATTAGCACATTAATTCATATTTTAGCTGTCATCTCATTTTTCTTGGACATTCTGCATGAAGAACATCATGTCTTATTTTTCCATTTCATTTTTGGCTTTTCGGTGGGCATATTTTCTATTAAATGCTTGCATCTGTCTCCTTTTCTTTTCCTTTTTCTCCTAACACCTTTTGCTTCAATTATTTAAGATCTTTTCTTAAATTGTTCTCCCATCTGATTAACTCATACTTTGCAGCTTTAGAAGAGGAAGAAACGGATGATGATTTTCAGGGAGTGATACCTGTGGGACGTGGTTTGTCTACAATGACACGGCCAACTACTTGATCTTCCTGGATCTAACATGATTGACAGCAGTGAAATCATTTTCACTTAGTGTTGGAAGGTATGTTTCATATTGGCATTAAATCTTATATGAATTATTTTTATACAACAAGGCCTGTTGCAAACAGATATAGCTAGTTACTTCTCTACATGGCTTTGGCATATGCAATGAAATTAATAATTTCAAAGATCTGCCTGGAAATTCCTTAAAACATGCCAAGGCAGATGCACATGTGTCATAATTGAGATTTTTCATTGATTGAAATGGGAGATAAGAACCTTTTGAGGTCCTCCCCCCCCCCCCCCCCCCCCCCCAGAGTCCTGAAATATGATTCTCCTTGTGTGGAGTATGTGGGTTGATGTTGATCCACTTTGTTATTGACCACCAGCTCTCTTTACTAGAAGATCATGTATTAAGGGTTTTCATTTCTGTTAATCATTAGGTCATATGTTAGAATTAGTGGAGCAAAGTTGGATGTAAGGGTTCTGATTCATTTCTGTCACAGGAGCTGGCAAAAAAGTTTGGATTTCTAGATGGTGGTTCACCATTATCAGGACTCTTTCTGAGCCACACCTATCTACCTGCCACCTACATATACTGTGATCTGTAGCTCACTTGCACCCATTCCCACTCACCTTTTCACATCCACTTAACATATGCATCATGTTCAAGTCCCAGTAACGGAGATGATCTTTATGAGAATCAAATGGTAAAGGTAGGGCTAGCTCTAGCATGAAATAAAATTGACAATGAGAAAGAGAGTTGATTAGGATCTGAGCTGGAGAGTGAGGGGAAGGATGTCAGGAGAGGGAGGAGGGTTTGTACCACTCTGCACGCCTGCTTGATGGAGTTTCAAGTTCTCTTCATATTGCCCATGCAGTTTATTTAAACAGTATTAGAATTTCCAACATCAGAGGTCCATGGTTCAATAAAAGAATAGGATGCTGTATTTCTTATTTCCTGCATGTTAACAAGAAGTCGAATAATTTCTGCAGGACTGCGGGAAGCTCTCCACCTGCTTCGAAGGTCACATGTCTGCCTATCAACAATCGGGGCTGTCCCATAAAGCTTCACCTTAGAATTCAGCAAAGTCCAAGTCGTGGAACCCGCACATCAAAGTGGTCAAATATATATCAAATCAAATGCCCAGCAAAAGCAGTTGTGGAATTCCTCTAGCTGATAAGGTTATTTTGATTACTAACAACTTAAATAATTGGGATACCAGAAGTTGGACAGATAGTGTAGATGTGTACAGCTGCTGTTCTTGGTCATTGGCCACTTGAATCTATGATAGTTTACAGCATACAGCAGTGCCAATTATTTCTGTAAATCCACAAATTGTGTGCACTTGATGGTATTTATAGACTGCATTAGAGAAATAAAAATCTTGGTGCTTTAGCTAACTTTTCTCATGTGTCTGCAAATCATGCACGCCATTTTTGTTTGCTGATGCAAGGGCATTTGACAGTAGAGGTTGGGTAGAATTTGGCTTTTTGATACTCTGAGCTCTTTGGGAGCAAACGGTGAAGATTACTTTTGGTATTTGTAGTCAACAACATTCATTCAATTCAGTGCCTGCAATAGATCTATGTCTTTTTCAATGGCGAAACCCTAGAAGACAGCTTAGAAAGAAAATGTGAGGAGGACGTACTGTGAATCAATTTCTTGTGTATCAAAGGGTAAAAATGTCTTCCTGATCATTTTGGTATGGTTTGAAGGGTTTTTAGGAGGCAGTGTTGTGGGTGATCGGGAGAGAACTCAACATGTTAGCTCGAGAAGAGTCTCAAGGAGAAGTCAGTCTTTGGTTATAATTCTTTTAATCATTATAAATTTCTTGTTTGGAATAAATGTTGAAAATTGCTCGATGGATAATATTCTCTAATCAACCCTTCCTTGTAAATAGTTTTTATTTATGAAAAAATATTTCAACCATTTGAAGGAGAAAGAGGTATTTTCAATGAAACTTTAGCAATTTGATGTTCTTAACAAACCCTTCGGCCAAAGCAATAACAATCATCATCTTCTTCAATGGTGTAATATATTTGGGGTACAAAAGAAAACTTGTGATATTTTGTTAAATATAGAGTAATTTTTTATTAAATATTTGAATTTTAAAACAACTCATGTAATCTTATCATATTTAAAAGAATTATAATTTATTTTAAATTATTATTGTTATTATCATTATAGATTGACAAAGTTTTCTGCTGCTGGTTATCCTATACTTTTCATTGGAAAGAACAGCAAAAGTCACCATCAAAACACATAAGCAAAATATATAGTTAGTTGATGACACTCACACAATCCACAACACAACAACGCAACAAAGCCTAAGATGATAAGATTACACATAGTGCACTTTCTTCCTCCCTCCCATCAATCCAAAACCAATCCATAAAAACACAATACCCATTATTTTGAAGCCATGAAAATTTATTGAATAATAAAAAAAAAATTAATGTTTTGAGTACTTCCTCCCTCCCATCAATCCAAAACCAATCTATAAAAACACAGTACCCATTATTTTGAAGCCACGAAAATTTATTGAATAATAAAAAAAAACTTTAATGTTTTGAGTATTTGAGTATAAGTTAAGCAAAAAACAATATCATACCACATACCAAACACTACTAGATTTATAAGAAAAACAGAAGCTCCCATAAAAAACTCACATTACCCTTCTATCATTTCTTTTAATTCCTCTGGCTCATGCATTTTTAAATTACATGGCACGTCGTTGGTGCATGACGCATTACATCACCACACCATCTTAATTTGCATGTCACCCTTTCTCTCTCATCCCCATTGCAAAATCATTGCTATATGACACACACACAACCCATCCATCCATTTACTCCTCCTCTATATATAGCTCATATGGTACTCACCTTCTCATCAAACACAAATATAAAGAAGAGGAAGAGTTTATATATATATATACACACGGTATCAGCTATGACAAAACTTATGAAGTCTTCAGTTCCTTTTTTGATGTGTTTTCTTGTTTTTTTCACACTTCTTATGTCAGGAGTGAGTGGTTATGGAGGAGGAATGGTGGGGGGGAGATCCGAGGTGAATGACGTGAAGACTAATAAGCAGGTACAGGAGCTGGGGAGGTTCTCCATGAAGGAGTTCAACAGCCACAGAAGCCTGTACTAGAAGGGTGGTGGAGTTGGAAAATTGATATTTTTTGAGGTGGTGGAAGCACAGAAGCAGATGGTTTCTGGGCTCAAGTATTATTTAAATATTATGGCCACCATACAGAATAGAGAGAAGAGAATATTTGATTTGGTAATTGTAGTCCAGCTTAGGCTTTGAACCATGAAGTTTCTTACCTTTGAGCCTTAAGCCAAATTGATGGTTAGAAAATGAGAATTGCCATTTAGGGTTTGATTGGTTTATGAAATCCAAACTAGGATAATTAAATTAAGTTTTAGCGGTTTTCTATGAATATGAGCTAAGAGTATGTACTCTCTTTTATTTTTGTTTTACGAGGTTATAATAACTATGTTTATTTATGTCAGAGCACATGCATAATCTTTATGAAATAAAAAAAAATATGTATGTCCTAATCTATAAATGGAACTTGGGAGGTTCTCTGTCGATCGTCTACTCTCCCTTAATTACTAATTAACCAACTTGTTGTAACCTGCTAGTTTTTCAGAGAATTTCCTTATGTTTTAAGCCACAATGCATGGTTAAATCTCCTGTTTAATTAACCATGCATAGTATAGATCAACAAATCATGTAACTATTATCAATTATTGCTTTAATACGGAAATAATGATGAAATAATGATTTGTTTTATGTGGATTTAACGCTAGCCAATTTAAAATCAAATATTTAATAAATAATAATTAAAATAACTTAATTAGAAGACTTCCATAAAAGTGAGAAAATCACATAAAAAATGTTTTAAAATTTGGGTTTTAACTCAAAATCTTTGAAGACATAAGTTGTCAATTGGTCTTGTTTTATTTGATATCAAAGACTTAAAAGATGAATACTGATTGATATGCAAACTACAATCTTACACTCCTTGATGGTATGTTGCCCGACCTATTTGCATGTGAGAGTACGGTCAAGTCCACATGATATTTTTCCATTCTAGTGGTGAAGGATAAGATGGATCTCTAAACGTGTTTGCTTTTTTCATCCAGCAACAAGGCTTGGAGAAAATCTAAAAAACAATCAACATGCTCATGGATGAATTGAGAGATTGAGATGTTGGATTCAGATTACATGAACAATTATAATATTATTTCTTTTTATTGAGTTTATAAGACTTTTCAATTCTTAAATTTGTAAATTAGCATCAGTATAGAAGGAAGATTTCAAAGTTGAGTAAATAAAAATGATAAAGTGAAAGAGATATGGTAAAGGAATTTGTGCCCCCTCCCTCCCTTTACTTGATGTTCATGAGGGGTTTTTATACCCATGAAAAATAATCACATAGATAACGATATAAATGGTGAAGCATTGTCTTACATATATAATTTATAAGTAATTATATGAGATAATAACCTCACATGGCTAGTAATGTTCCATTTAAAGTAAAAGACCCTCTTATATCAATTGTCTAGTGAGCTCAAACGAGTCCAACGTGACAACCACTAAGGGTTGTTCATTCAATGTATATATATTTTGTCCTTGTAGTGAGTAGGGAGTAAACCAAGTTTGATCAAGGGTGGTGTGTTATGGATGTAATAGTTAGATTTGAGGGCATAAACCTTGTCTAAGAGGACATGTGGTTGGTCCACTGAGAAGGGGATAAAAATTCAGTTCACCAAGGAAGGTATATGAGTCTGGACCTATTAAGGGGAGACATGTGGTCATTCTTATCAAGGAAGGAACATGCAAGTTGTCTTATTAAGGAGGGAACACATAAGTGGTTTTTTAAAAAGGGATAAAAGGTCAATTTAGAAGGATGTATAACTTGTCTAGAGGATATAAAGTCAATCCATTAGGGGAACATAAGGTTAATCTATCAATAAAAGGGATGTGTTGTCAGTTCTATAAAAAGAGGACATTTGTTTGGGTATCTAATCAATTTAGACACCCAATCATATGTCTCTACCTTAAAGTGAGTTTACTTAGTTTGAGATATAATGATTTTCTTACCATACATGATCTGGGTGTATCAGGTTTTTGGAGATACAAGTCATCATGTTTAAACTAACTGGTTATTTTATTTGATCAACCAAGGTGTTTTCTAAAATAATTAGCGAGTTATTTGGGTTAATTTTAAAATTTTGTTATGGTAACTTTTCATACTAGGTGATGTGGTGCCCTTATAATTGGGTATGGTATAACCACACACCTATGGAGAAATGTTTCTTTTATACCTAATCAAGGTTAGTGCCTTTATTTCTAGACAAGGTGGCTTGAATGAGTCTTTATTACTTGAGCAAGGTAGGTTCCTGAACCAAAGGATGAATGCCTTTATATCCGAACAAGATAGTTGATTTGAACAACTGATAAAGAATAACACATGTCAAAGCATTCTTGTACCTGAAATGAAGGATGTTATTATACCTAACAAAGTTACCCTTATACCCGAGGTGAATAATGCTTTGAGTTTGGGTTAGGTTATCCTTGTACCCAAATTGAGATCCAAGTAGACATCATATTATGCCTAGAAAGAGAAGTTTCACTGAGATTCTTTTTGTTAGGGGTGAAGAATGTATTTTTCTTGGGAAAAGTTATATTGTACTTGCAATAAGTGTTACCCTCTAGCTAAATTATCCCTTCATGATTTATTTTGAAAATATTTTTATATTTGGGTTCAATGTTGTCTTAAGCACGAATGGAGAATGAGAAAAAAATATGCCGAGCAGAGAAAAAAACTCTTGCCTGAGGTGGAGAAATCTATGGAGAAAATATCATGAAAGATATTTTATGAAGATCATTATATAAATATTGTTTTTTAAATATTGTACTTGGTGATTAACCATGGAAATCATCATATAATGTTTATTTCATTAAGATTACACATTACAATTCATCATGGAGATTTTTATGGAGATTACTCGTGAAGATTATTATGGATACTTCTCATGTAAACCATTATAAAGATTTCTTGTAAAGTCTGTAATTGGCGATTCATTATAAAAATTAAGTTATACCTGAGATAAGATGTTTCTCATTTAAGATAAAGAGTTATATAGAGAAAATCTCATAAAAAGCACGTGTAGAGAATAACAAATGAAAAATAATGTAATAGAGAATAACTCATGAAAAATAATACATGGAGAGCAATGTATAAACAATATTTCATGAAGAAAATCTTATGAAAAATATAAAAGAAAAAAAATCATAGAGATTATCATACAAAGACAACATCTTAAAGAATAACATATGATAATAATTTTATAGAGATAGTTTTCAAGTAAAAAGTATAATTTTTATAACTTTTTCCATAAGATCAGGCTATAGACCTTATTTATCAAGCCTTTGTGGTGTCTGGTTATAGAAAGACCTTTACCTTATTCAACATCTCTTTATCGAATCTTTTTAAGTGGGCCCTCATGCACTTATTATCCTTTTAAAAATGATGACAAACAACATAATGAAGCTTTTTTTAGATAAGATACTTATTTTAAAATAGGATATATAATATTTACACAAAGTTCCTCAATGCCATGAAAGAATTCAAGATCTAAGTTATGATACCATGTTTAAACTAACCCTTTGAATACAATGGAGAAAATTTTTCACATAGTGTCTTTCACTTACATGATGAACTCTAAACTACTATTTATATTTTACACATATTCTCTCAAGTTTATAAACTTATAGCAGTTTTTTATGTTCATTTAAGTGAATATTATGTTTCTTATAAGACGAGTGTCTAACACCTGTTTGGTTAATCGAGAACCCCTCACTTGGTATATGTTATATATCTCCATGTTAGGGAATCATATAACAATAGATCTAATCTTTTTTTAGGATATTTTTTTTATTCAAGCTACTAGAAAAAGACCTTGATGAGGAGTGATGATTGTTTTTGTGACTATGATTGTATGTTAATTTGTCTTTGAGTTTTTTTATCACCTTTGGAGTATTCATTTAGAAAACATTTTTCATGACAACGACAATCACTTTTACAAGGGTTATAAGAGAAGTGACTCTTTTCTTTGCTTTTTACACTAAATTTTGGAATACCTCCTTAAATCGGAGTTTTTTACACATACACACACTAGAAGGTATAGTTGGTGGTGTTGAAAAATGATTTATCTATTATGAAGAGTTAAGGTTGTTCACTACTCTCATGTGATGTAATCATTCTTATTTGGATTAGATGCTGGAGATTTTAAGAAGTTGAAGCATTTATGATGGGAAGACCTATAACCTTTTCATATCCACTAGTTTTTGAGTTGTTAAAAGAGAGAGATGAATTGAATTTTTTTCAAGATCCCTACAAATGGTGCCATTGATGGTTAATTAAAAAACTCTAAAATATCAATGTTTTTTCAAGGCTAGTGGATGGATTGAGAGATAAAGGCTACTGGATTTGAATTTCATGAACACCTACAAAATAAAAATCCTTTATTAGATTCAAAGAACTGTCTAATACTTAGATTAGCACTCGAGTAAAAGGATTATTACCTTGAAAGCTTGTATAAAGCATGTTTTGAGAATAATAATAGAGATAATAAGAGTAAAATACTATAAGGAATGTTTTTGTATATAAAAATTAATAAACCCTTTTTATCTAGTGCATTTTATGAGGTTTTGTTCTCAAGAAACATGCTAACTTGTATTGAAAAAGGATATAATGATAAAACATTGTCTCGTTTAATTTAAGAGCAATTATATGGGATGATAAACTCTAATGGATGGGTGGTGGTGTAAGATAGAAAACTTTGTCATGATAATGCCTTTTGAGTTCAAACAAGTCCAATATAATAGTCATCATTGCATGAAAACACATGTTATAGGATGATTTGCAAGCATTTAATGTATATAAATATTATTTTTATAGTAGGCTTGTATATAAGGATGCATGGTTAGTTCTTTTTATTAAAGAGAGAATGCAGAATTGGTCTATCATGAAAGGGACAAGTGGTTGGTCTTGTTAAGAGAAGACGTTCGTAGTCATTAAAATGAGAAGTGATTGATCTTGTTGTGAAAAGGACGCTTAGCTCGATCCCATTAAAAAGGACATATGACTACAAAGTTAGTCCAGAGAGATGTGTAGTCAAACCAAAAAAACACATGATGGATCCAATAAAA